TGTACATTTTCAGACTTTTTCTGAGTCTTCCTCTTTGCTTCATCAGTTATTTATAAGTGTGTCATTTGGTTTCGAAGCAGTTGGAAATTTTTCTGTGATTTTTATGTTATTTATTTCTGGTTTAGTTTCATTACTGTCAGAGAATATACTTTCTCTGGCCGAATTCTGTTAAATTTTTTAAGATGAGTTTACTGACATAGGATAAGATTTACTTTATGCTCTTTAGTATGCTTTTCAATGGAATATATACTTTTCATTTTACACACACACACACACACACACACACACACACATCTTTTCAATGGAATGTTCTATAAATATTATAAGATCCAGTTGTTTGATAGTGTTGTTCAGTTTTGCTATATCAAGTGTCCATAAACTTTTTCTCTAAAGGGAAAGAAAGTACATATTTTAAGCTTGCATGCCACATACAATCTCTAAAATACACATTCACAATCTTTAAAAAATGAAAAATAAATTCTTAGCCTATAGGCCGCACACAAGCAGGCTATATATGGGCAGTATTTGGCCCAGAGGCCATAGTTGGTCCATGTTGTATGTCCTTGCTGATTTTCTGTCTATCAATACTTCTGATAAAGAAATATTGAATTCTTCAACTATAATTACATGTAATAAAATTATTGATGTTTGTATTTTTATATACCATTTCTTATGTAGTTTCTGCTTGTTACCTCTGGGTTTTTTTTAATTTTTATTTTCCTTTTCTGCCTTCTCTTGGGTTATCTTCATATCTTTAATATTCCATTTTAGTTCTTATATTGTGTTTTGACTCTTTGTTTTGTATGTTTCTTTAAAGAGGATGCTCTAGAAATGTTATATATAGAAAGAGATCATTTTCACAACCTAAGCACTTAGAGTCAAAATTTGTAACTCCTTGTGGAATTAAAAAACCTATCACTGTATATCCGTTTTGTTCTACCCCTTTTAAGTTTATAGATATTTTATATTTTACATTAAAAATGCCATAAAATGATGTTAATGTTTTAATGTTTCTTTATCCCACCTTCATTCTTGAAGGATATTTCCTCTGTGTACAGAATTCTGAGTACACAGTTCTTTTCTGTCAAGTAATCAAAAATGCACCACTTTTTTCTGGCCTTTGTGGATTTTAACTTTAGGTAGTCCTAAAATTAATACATTTTTTTCTGGCTGCTTTCAAGATGTGTTCTTTGTGTTCAATTTTCAGAGTTTTGATTATGATACATCTGGGCATAGATTTCTTTTGGTATATTCTGATCACATTTTTTTCAGATTCTTCAATCTGTGGACACATGTTTTAACCAAATTTTGAAAGTTTTGGGCTTTTATATCTTCAGTTCTTGGGTTTAGCACTGTTCCCTTTTTTTTCTCTCCTTTGGCAGTCCGATGAAACAAATTTCAGAATGTCAGATCTTTTTGGTATTATTGTCCCACAGGTCTCCAAGGCACTTCTGATATACTTTTTCAGTCTCCCCCCCGCCCCCCGCCGTTTTCTATCTTGCATACTGTTTGTTAGTTTATCTTCAAGTTTTCTTATTCCTCTGTCATGTTCCGTTCTGCTATTGATCCTGTGAGCTTTTTTTTTTTTTTTAGAAAAAAAAAAGTTTTGGTAATTGTAGTTATTAATTCTACAATTTCCAAAGCCAAAGCTACTGCTTTGTATTTTCTATTTCTTACCATGACTTTCTAGAATTCTGCTGGATTTGAGTGTTCACCAATTTGAGTGTTGCTTACCAATGAAGCATTTTTAGAAATCGTTCCTTTTAGTTTTTGTCAGATCATTTTGACATCCGTGTCATCTCTGTATCAGCATCTATGAATTGTCTTTTCTTGGACAATTTGAGATATTCCAGGTTCTCACATTGAAGTATTTTGGATTTTTATCCTAGAAATTTTGAGTATGGTGTTAGGAGACTTGCATAAGTCCTATGCGAGATGCTGATGTTTTTGCTTTCACACGTAGTTGAATTGTTGACCCTACCCTCTTGGAACTACTACCTGCCTGAATGGCAAGGAGGGTTCCTATCCTTCAAAAATCCAGTCTCCCGTGGGTTCCCAAGGCCTTCCACTGTCACTGCCACCATTAGGTTGGGGATTTAAAATAAGATGATGGAAGGAAAGAAAATGTGAAAAAATGGGAGGATTTCTGTGTTCCTTCTGTGTGCATTATTATTTGTCTTTCCCCATTTCTTGATCCAGAAAATAAGGGTTTTTTTTCCTAGAGTTCTCCCTGTCTGCACTATAAATTTATAGAGTCATATTGTAATAAGTTTGGTCTGGAGGATGCTGGAGGAAAAAACTGGTAAACCAATTACTGCTTTGGTGACACTCAAGATTCTGGTATTCTTTGCAAATATGTCTGTTGCCCTTTAGGTTATAAAATCCTAAAGTTGTTGCTTTATGCATTCCGTCGAGATATTATCAGGGTAGTTAGAAGAAACGGAGAAATGCGCTTACTCTATCTTACCTTGAACTAGAAACTCTGAGAATTCCTCACAGCTTTTTTCATTATCTTAATTTATTCCATTTATTTTCTTTGAATTATTTGTTTTCTGACATTTTCCCCATGTAAAATGGAAAGACCAGGAAAGCAATGACCTTGTCTATTTTTTGCCACTGTATTGAAAACTGTAACAGTGCCTGACACGTAGTTTTAGTTTAATAAATATTTTTTGAATGACCAAATAAATAAAAGTAAGCTACTAGTTTATCCCCAATGTTTGAAATGATGGTTTTGAACAAGGGTAGAGAAAGGAGGCATTTCAAGTCAGGCGGTATGTAAGCAGTAAAGGAAGGGAAGAGTTATTTTGCAGGATTGGGATTAATAAATTTGTCCAAAGAGGCAGCTCATGTAGCAATGATAGCAGGTAGATAAACTGACCCTAACTTAGATAGAAACCTTAACAACAGGCAAAGAGCTTTGATTTTATTTAATAGGAGATGGAGAAGTGCTAAAAGTTTTAAACAAGTAAACAATATGACCAAAAAATGCAACTTAGAATGATTACTTTGGCAAGAAAGACAAGAATGTAGGCAGGAGACTAGTAACTGACTACAATAGAAGAGATAAATTTAAGAGCATGAATCAAGAAAGTAGTAGTCAAAAGAAAGAAGAAATGACTGATATGTAAACAAAACCTTCATTCATCGATTGATGGATGGATTTAGTTAGAGTGGGGAATGCATTTGGAAAAAAAATAGCGAGATTCTTGTCAAAGAATAAAGGCGGATTTTGGAGGAGATAGAGATAGAAATTTTAGCAATGTTTTTACCTGAAAAGCAAAATTCCATTTTTAATCTTTTTGAGATGCAATGTGACTGAACACTTCTGCTCCATGTCTGTTCTTTGGCTTCCCAAACCCTATTGTTCCAGGGGCTTTGACCTTTCCTTAGTTGCCTGGCATCCAGGCAAGGTTTAAGCTGTCAAATTTCTATCCAGGTGGCCTCCATAAATATATCAACAGAATTTATTTTCTTTAATTTTCTTTGGCCTTACTTGAGAATTTGCTGATTGGGAGACTGTTTGGAGGCCAATATGCCCAAAGATGGATAGCCACATCTGCTAGCCATTTGGGTTAATTATTACACCTGTGTCATAAAACCTGCATTAATAAGGAGGTGGCAAGCAGATGCATGCTGCAGCATAGACAGGACCTGCACTCCTCCCAGCTTTCCCTCCCTGTCAATGGCACACCACCATCCTGCTCTTTGGGCACAGTATGTTATAGGACTCTCAGTTTCTTCCTCCAACACCTCCATGACTAGTGCATCTCTAAGTCATTCCAGCTCTTTATCTCAGATTTCAGAGCCATTCAGAGCCATGCTTCCCTGCCACTTTTCAGTCTACATTCTACTCTGGGCCTTCTCTAGTCATATGACACCTTAGAATGTCCACAAAATCAAAATTGTTTCCCTTGTCAACCACCTACCTCCTCTGGTTGCCCTTTATGCAGAAGGAAGAATCTTCTTTCTTGAACATTTTGATCAAATTTCACTCCATGCATTGACTAGTCTCCTCTAAGATCTACTAATAGGCTTCCAGAAATTTACATGATTTTCCTGTTGTCTTTAAAAATTAATTTGAATGCTTCATCCTGGTCTTTTAGGCTGGCCTGCAAGTATTGCTGGTCTTATTTATTTATGCCTCCCTCCCCCCCCCCCGAAGTACAATGGATTGAACCCAGGGCTTCACACTTTCTGGGCAAGTGCCTCACCACCAAGCTACTTCCTCAACCCAAGTGTTCTTATTTATGGTTGATCCTTAACCTCTAATTATTTTCTGCTCCATTCAAAGTAAACCTGCTTGCTTTTGTGTGCATGAGTTTTGATTCTCAGCTGCTGGCTGCTTGAAACCTTAACTGCACTAATACCTCTAAGTACCCTTTCCCCCTTTCTTTCCACCAATTCTTCCGCAAGATGTTGACCAGGAGTCATCCCTATACAACCGTCAAACCCCAGTGAACGGGCCCATGTGAACAAGAGATCTATAGCATAATGGAAAGTGGTTGACAATCCAGTGCATGCAAGCCCAAAGCAGGTCCTGAAAACGAAGAAGGGAAATAGCTTTTGTATCTTTAACCGGGCTGATGTTGATGAAAAATCACTAGCCTTCCTAATGTATAAGTCTCTGGCAGTCGTTTTTTTCTGCATTACAGAACCACTGAACACCCTGGAGGGAGTGAAGGAGAAAGCAGACGCTGGCCTAGGGAGTTGGATCTGGAAAATCGACTATGTCAATAAATGAGATGACAGATGTTGCTATTTCATATTCCTCATGCACACATGAAAATGAATCATTAACAAGAAATAGGAATGCTAGAAGACGCAGAGAGGAAGACAAGCTACCAATGGGCTAAACACCATTCCCCTTCAATCTTTACCTCTCCCCGTGTATTTAAATTCCTAAAGGAGACAGCCACAGAGGTACAATTGACAAAAGTTATAATGGAGCATCATTTCTTTCTGAGGTCAGAGAAAGATGACTTAAAAACATGAGAAGATTCATTTTTAACATTTCCTTTACTCTGCAAAACAGTGACTCGGTAGATTTAGGTAAGACACACCTAAATAACATGACGTTCTTACCATAGAGGTGGAATTCTATAATGAGTAGAAAGTCATAGTTTGGGTCAGTTCTCTATTTTATATTGAGAAATTGCTTCTTGCCTCTTCTCTCCTACAGTTTGTTCTCTTTTCCTTTATATTTTGTCCATTCTCTTCCTCAAGCCTCTTCTTCATTCTGTTTTTTCTCTCTTCCTTTCTGCAACACGTTGCTCTTAAACGTAAAGGGAAAAGAACGGTCATTAATCACTCGGCAGGACACAGTGCTTAGATGGCTATGGTTGCTGAAGGAGGTCTGGTTAGCATCAGCAGATTTTTTCATTTCCTTTCAGTGGGGACAGTGGGCTGCTCTGTGTCCCTGGGGCCAGGCAACATGAATGCAGGTATTGAGTGTTCAAGAGGAGACAATTAAGACCAAGTGCTGGAGATACAATAGCATTTAAACTAATCAGGTACCTGGATTAGACTCCTTCAGCCTCTCTTTTGCTTTCTTTGAAATAAAGATTCCGCTTTCCCAGGATACAGATTGGTGAGTACTAACTGCACTGTTGAAAAATGATTCTTCTCCTTATCATTTATTCTTCTCTTCAGTGGAAACCTATCTTCCTGAATTCTGAGAATTGATCTACAGAGTTTTCAGGGATGATTTCATGTGGCAACAAAGATCTTCTAATGCACTGAGATATTTTTAAGGAGAAACTAACAGTTACAGAATTTTCTAGAGAGGCAAGAAAAGTTATTGGAGACACCGATCTTCCATTCAGAAAAAAAGTGTGATAAATCCAGCCAACTTTGAACTTTTGGGTATGAGGGCTAAAAGGGACATTGACATTTAACCATTGTTTTTCACATTATGGATTAGACATAGGAACCAAAAGCAATAAAAACAAAAAATTAAATACTTCACTCAGACACAGTGCAAGAAAGAAGTGATAAATCTGAACAAGAGAAATAAAGTTTGAAAATATGAAAGGCAAGTTAAGCCATATGAAGTATAGAATGAATATATCAAATATACATCTCTTAATAGATATTATGGAGAAAATGAAAGAGGCAATATTCATGTAATTGATAAAGATTTTTCCAAAATTAAAGAAATACGGGTTTTCAGATTGATGAAGTACTTGAGTCAAAGACAAAAAGTAAAAGAAATTTGCAATTAAGTATATTGTAATAGTCCACAGCCCTACTACCATGAATTCGTCTGATTTTTTCTGACCTCAGAAGTATATTTTGATAGAACAAGTGTACATGGATAGAATACCAATCTCCTGGAAGAAGATTTTAAGGGCATCATAAAGATAGATTGCCTATGGAGAAACAACAGATTGATAATTGGTGTCTCAATTTATAAAAAATAGAGGACTGATAAATAGTCTCAGAATAGAAGAAAGGACAGAAGACTACAGAGTACTTGTTTTTCACCTTCAAGGTAATAATAATTTGCAGCCTGAAAAATCTATACATAGATAAGCCGGCATTCAGGAATGAGAGTAATATAAAGATTGTTTGGGGATGAAGATTGTATAAAATTTTAATTGGTCCTCTCTCACTAGTGAACTATTATAAAGCTAGAGCAGTAAGAATGAAATTGAATCAGAAGGAAGAAATCAGATGGTAGAAGTGGTATTAGGAAATTGCTAAACTGACCTTTGACAAAAGTGAGAATACACTGGCATAGATACTAATTAATGCTATTTAAAACACAAACATAGGGCTGGGCATGCTGCTCAAGCGGTAGCGGGCTCGCCTGGCATGCACGGGGCGCTGGGTTTGATCCTCAGCACCACATAAAAATAAAATAAAGATGTTGTGTCCACCGAAAACTAAAAAGTAAAATAAAATAAATTCTCTCTCTCTCTCTAAAAAAAATAAAATAAAACACAAACATCAATTAACCTTAGCCTTTCTTAATTTATGGGTAAAAGTTAAAACTTAAAGCTGACGGTTAAAGAATAAAAGTAGATTTGATCTTTATTATACTAAATTAGCAGATCAAATCAGTAAAGACAGGAAAGGATAAAAATGGAAAAGCAGCAAAGCACAAGTATAAGATGCAAAGAATGCATGAAATAAGACAAACACAACCAAATAGTCTTCCACTGTGGGAAAGATGTAGGTGATCGTGCTAGATCAATATACATACTATAAGAACTAGAAGAGATAAATTATAAAAATTGATTTTTAAAAATCAAAGAGAAAGGAAAGATTTTTTTTTAAAGAAAGCTGATGAAATAAAGTCACAGAAAGCCATTTCTAGGTGAGCTGACAAACACCTGACATTTTCTTTTTTAAAGGAAAGGCATGTACAACTCCAAATGAGTATTAAAATGTGGCTTAGCTTGGGTAGAGAAAAAGAAGTAGAGCTTTAGACAGGAATGGTAAATGATTTAAATATATGGGCAGTTTTCCAACAGTACAGTTGCTGAATTCTAAGACAGCAAAGGAGGCTAAAGAGCTGGACTGAAATATTTTTTAAAATCAGTGAAATCTCTCTCATCTTGAAGGACTTAGGAGATAAAGTCCCGTCAAAGTACAGGACTCAAAATAACTGCTGTATTTTGAAGCTCCATGTGGCAGGCAGCCAAAAAGTTAAGTTCCAAAGTTCTTTAGACCCACATTGAATCCCTCAGTGTTTTAAGACCTGCCAGGTTTTTAATCAAAAGCCCAGATAGACTGATCTTAGTAAAACTACAAGTGAATAATAGCATCCGGTCCTCCTAGTCTCACCTGATTCACTCAACCAACAGAAAAAGGCGTTCTCTCCGGAAGAAAATTTGTAATCTATAGTCTCTAGTTATTTACTAGTTATTCCTAAATGTCAGGCATGTGAAAAGTTACGAAAATGTGAGCAATAGCTGAGAGGTAATGGAGCCGGTGGCAGCAGATTGGCTCAGGACCCAGATGCCAAAGTTAGCAGAGAAGAACTCTAAACAACTAATGCAAATAGTCGAAGGAAAATATTGTGAAAGATGGACAAGATGGATGAAAAATGAAAAATGTAGATTTTCAATAGAGACCTGAATAAGAATCCAGTAGAAAATCTAGAACTAAGAATGTCTGAAATTAAAAATTCAGAATGGTTTTATGACACACTAGACATAGCAGTTTATTAAGAGATGGGCCAATAGCCAGTATAAAAAAAATGAAGAACAGAGATAGAAATAAGAGAACATAAAGGATATGTAGGCCAGTGAAATAGTCTTATATGCAAATATAATAACAGGATAAAGGCAGAATGGAAAACAGTATTTGAGGAGATAGTAGTGGATAACACTGAAGAATTGATAAAGAACATCATCCCACAGATTTAAGAATCTCTGTGAACCTTAAAGACAATAAATACAAGTAAAATTCCTCTAGGCACGTTAGAGTTGCTTGCTGAAAACCAAAGACAAAAAAGTCTTAAAAGTAGCCACAAACTGGGCGCTGTGGCACATGCCTGTAATCTCAGCAAGCTTGGGAAGCCGAGGCAGGAGGATCATGAGTTCAAAGTCAGCCTCAGCAAAAGTGCTAAGTTGCTAAGCAACTCAATGAGACCCCTTCTCTAAATAAAGCATACAAAAATAAGGCTGGGGATGAGGCTCAGTGGCTGAGTGCCCCTGAATTCAATCACTAGTCTTAAATAAAAAAGTTGTCAACAGTGGAGTGAGATACTAAGGGAACATTTTTTTAAAAATACTCTTTTAGTTGTCAATGGGCCTTTATTTTATTGATTCATTTATGTATAGTGCTGAGAATTGAACCCAGTGCCTCACATATGCTAGGCAAGTGCTCTACCACTTAGTATAAACTATACCCCCAGCCCCTCTCCGGGAACATTTTAAGCAATCAACAATGTGGCAGGTAGCTGATTTTTCCATAGAAAATGCAGAACCCAAAGGACAAAGAAATGACATATTTGAAGTGCTAAAAGAAAGCCAAATAGAACAAATGCTAATCTAGATTTATAGAGAAAATATTTCTTTTAAATAAAGGCAAAATTAAGACACTTGCAAATAAACAAAAGCTAAGAAAAGCTATTGCCAGTGGACCAACATTATGAAAAAGACCAAATAAATTTTCTAGGAATGATAAATGTATAGATATATGCAAAATAATTTTGACTACATGATGCAAAATAAATAACAAAATCTTGTGAGGTTTATAACACATGCAAAAGAAAAACTATGACAGCAATAGTGAAGCAGGTGTTTCTCTACTTTTGCAGACAGGTGGGTATCTATCTGCATAAACTGCAGGCTTCTGCAGACAAGAAAGCTCAGTTTAGCATGGGTGGCTAATCAAGACAGCTTAGCCTCACCTCTGAAGGCTGTAGCCAACAAAGTCAGATTTTTCTCCACTAATATCAAGTGACCTATTTTAGTCTTAATGGCAGGCTATGCCCTCCAGTGTGACACAAGACTCTAATAGCTCACAGCAGAATTCTTTCCAGCTTCTTGTCTTGCAGATTCAAAGAATGAAATCCACAGACAAGGAAGAGTGAGTATAAAAGAGTAGGATTCATTCAAGTGGGAAGAAAAGAGACAGTTCCCACAGGGCCAGAGGAGAATTGAGAGGGGTTTCTGCTTGCGTGTACTAATCTAGGGGTTTTATATAGCTCTTGGACCAACTATATAGGTTCAAATGTATGCTAATCAGGGTTTTGCAAAGTACCAATACTATTGACAGTAAAAGGCAAAAAATATATTAATGTAGCCAGGAAAGAAAGATGAACATTACATAGTGAAAATAGGATCAATAGAAAAGGAAGATGTAATTTTGTATGCATCAATATAGATTCAAACATATGTAAAGCAAATATGGATACAACCCCAAAGAAAAAAGAGACAGATTTATAAAGTTGGATTTTAATGTAACTATCTTCTTAATTGATAGGGAAAAAAAAACTATTTAGGATAAATAATTCAAATAATATTAAGAAAATTAACTTAATTTGTATGTATCTAGGGAATTCTACCCAATAACTCCAGAAAATTATTTTCAAGTACATATGGACCATTTTATCCAAATAGAGTATACATTAGCACATAAAGTGAATTGAAAGCATTCCACTGTGGAATTAAGTTAAAACTAGAAGATTTGTAAATTTTTAGAAATTAAGCAACACAGTTCTAAATAATCCATATATATATGTATATTTATCAATTAAAGTCAGGCTATATTTAAACTAAATGATAATGACAATACAGCACCAACAATTATGAATTACCCATAAAGCTTAAAGAGAAACTTACCTTTAGACATATTGTCGAGAAAATAAGAAAGTCTGAAAAATCAATAATGTAAGCTTCTATTTTAGCTAGAAAAAGAAAAGAAAATCAACACTGAAAGAGTAGAAAGAAAACAAAAATAACAGCTGAAATCCATGGAATAGGAAGCAGATACACAATAAAAATCAACAATGCTAATTTTTTGAAGATTAAAAATTGATAGATTCCCAAGAAGACATGTCAAAGAAAAAGTAACATAGCTGACCCATGCCAAGAATAAACTAGTGAACTACTCCAAATATTTAAGAAAGAATATGAATCTTACACTCATTTTTTTTCAGAAAGTAGAAAGGAAAACTTTTCAACTGATTTTATGAAGTAAACATCTTTATTACCAAAATATAACAAGCATATTACAAGAAAGGAAAGTCAAGGGCCAATATCACTCTTAAATATAAACCCCCAAATTCTAAACCTGATATTAATAAATAGAATTCACCAACATATAAGAAGCATAATAAAATATGTTCAGATGGAGTTGATTTTTTTGAAGGTGAGTTTAACATTCAGGAAAAAAAAATGAACTAACCACACAAACAGAATAAAATGGGGGAAAACATCTATATCTTAACAGACACAAAGCTCTTATTGAAACTGAACACACATTAAGGATAGAAATTCTCAAATTAGGAATAGAAGAGAATTTACCTAATTTGACAAAACCCATCTGCAAACACTTTCAGATAACCAACTCAATGTTATAACATTAAAAATGTTAAAATAAATTATCTTTGAGGTCAAACAAGGTACGGATAGTGTTCTCCTCAAGTTCATTCACTGTTGTCCTCTGGTACAAGAAAAGCACATAAAAGTTATGAGAATTAGAAAGGAAAAAGTAAAACAGCTTTCGGTCATAAATGCATTTGAAAAAGTTGTGCATTTAAAAAAATTCCCCAAATCTAGCTGTTTTAGTCAGCTTTTTCACTGCTGTGACTAAGCACCCGACCAAACCAATTATAGAGGAGAAAAAGTTTATTTAAGGACTCATGGTTTCAAAGGTTTTAGTCCATAGTCAGCAGGCTCCATTCCTTGGGACTCAAGGTGAGGCAGGACACCGTGGTGGAAGAGTGTGATGCAGGGAAGCAGTTCCCGCCAAGACAGGAAGCAGAGAGAGGCACTGCACTCACCAGATACAAAATATAGACCCCCCATAGCCATGCACCCAATGAACCACTTCCTTCAGCTACCCCACTTCTGTTTCCAGTTACCACTCAGTTAATTGCATCAATTAATTCACTGATTAGGTTAAGGCTATAACCCAATCATTTCTCTTCCAAACCTTCTTGCATTGTCTTACATGTGAGTTTTGGGGGGACATCACATTTAAGCCATGACATTAGCTCAGTCAATGAGTTAATTTAGCAATGCTATTACTAAATTATCTCAAATGTGATAAAAAACAAAACCAGTTGTATTTCTACAAGTCAGCCACAGTTGAAAATTAATTCTAAAACACCCTTTAAAACAACATCAAGAATTATAAATATGAGACATAATAAAAGTAACAAAAAGCTGCTGAGAAAAATTAAGGACCTAAACACATAAAGAGATATCCTGTGTGCATATATTAGAAGATTCACATTGTTAGTAATTCTCATCTAGTATGTTGTTAACCGAAACCTAAATATTTTTAAAAAATTATTAAAATTGATAAACCCCTAGTGTGAAAAAAATTATATAGCAAAATATATTTATAATCACAGAAAATGTAAATTGCCTGTACTTGCCTGAAAGACATAATTTCAAATATGTTTAAAAATAAAAAGCCATAGTTTATTTACTTCAGAGTAATCCAAAAAAATTTAAAAAAGGTACAAAAGTAGATTTACCAGAAGAACTCCAGTAAACATGAAAGGTTGTGCAACCTAAGTGTTAATCAAGGAATGCAAATCAAAATTATGATTAAATGTATCCCCTGGCCAAGTGATTCTACAAGTGTTGGTGAGAATGTGGGGAAAGCAAAGTCTTATGCATAACTAATGCAGATACAAATTTGGAAGATAATATGTCAATAATTAGTAAACTGAAAAATATACATATCTATAGCTTAGAATTTACATTAGAATATTAGAGAAAACTCTTTCATTTGTGCACCAGGAAACATGTTTGAAGATACTGTACCATTACTTAAAATACCTGAAAATTGGAAACAATCTAAATGTCAACCAATAGGAATACATAAAATTTGTAGCATATTCAGAGTGACCCTTCATATTGGTTTGCCCAGGATAGTCTTAGTTTAAGCCCATTTTATAGGTATGATTTTTTATCAAGCCTGTTTTAATTTTCAAAATGGGTCTGCTTTGGGTAAAAAGTTACGTATTCACCTTAGATATTTTCATGTACTAAAATAATAACTATTTAAGTGATTGAAATAAATGTGTTAGCATAATATGTGTTAAACAAGACTAACTGGAAAAAAATAACAGTGAATGAAAAAGTCAAATTTCAAATACCTATGCATCTCCTTGACACCATTTATGCAAAATTCACAACAGAAAGCAAAACTACATATACATGAATGTGCACACATGTGCATGTATGACATATAAATGAATGTGTATGTATGTGTGTGTGTGTATACACACACACACACACACATATATATATATATCCACGACAGAGAAAGTTCTCAGGATTGGTATGTTAGGTACACACAGTTTGCTGTTACCCATCTATTCTTTCCTGTATGTGTGTAGCCAGCCAAATAAGAAATACCTTCATTTCGATGCA